CTTGGCAGGTGGCTGAGGGAAAGGGGCTTGTGATTGGGGGTGGGGAGAAAGGAATTCCCTAGCCTCACAGAGCAAAGGGCTGTAGAACCAGGAGATGTCCATATCAGCGGGTAGCAATCGATTTATCTGGGATCGATATATCGCGTCTCGTTAAGAGGTGATATATCGATCCCCGAACGTGCTCACCGTCGACTCCGGAACTCCACTAGAGTGAGCGGCGGTAGCGCAGTCGACGGGGGACCCGCGGCCGTCGATCCCGCGCCGTGTGGACCCCAGGTAATTCGATCCAAGATACTTCCACTTCAGCTACGCTATTCGCGTAGCTGAAGTTGCGTATAGTGGATCGATTTCCCCCCCTCCCCCAGTGTAGACCAGCCCTTTGTTTACAGCAGTGCTGGGGGGAGGGGGTGAATGTGTCTGCCATGCTGCGCTGTAAGTCGGCCCTGCTATATATGTTTGCTTCCTTACACTTCTCTTATTTTTATGCTTCTTCCTCTTGCTTCAGCTAAGTTGGTGTGTGTCATAGTGATTTGAGGTGCTCTCTCACCTTCAGGTTTTGAGTCCTGACTTTTCAGCACACCCTGTTCTTCCTGGCCTGGACGGAGATCATATCAGATTTTGCAGTCTGAAGTACAAGGCTCCTTAGGTGATTACAGTCCCTGGCTGACTTCTAGTCCCTCACAGGTATTTTGTACTTGTATGTGAATTTTGTTATGGTGAAAGATTGAGTGAAATCCTGGCCCTATTGAAGTGAATGGCAAAACTCATATTGCTTTTAATAAGAGCCAGCATTTCTGAAGCCCTCTGTCTACAGAACAGCAGTAGAACACCATTATTCCATTTAATGACATCAGTGACTTGGAGAGAGACCCTTTTAAGAGGTGAGTTTACAGATCAGTGTCTATCCCTTTTCATTACTTGTTCAAAGACTGATATTGGTGGTGGTTGTATTTGTGCTTTAGACATGTGACCATTAGATTGAAGCCTTCAATTAGTTCCACAGAGGCCAATGAACCCCCATCCAATTGTAGTAACTTTAGATTCCTACCAACTTTATATCACTGCCAAAGGAATGGCATTTGAATTAATATAGCTTAATTCATATGTTAAAAAATAAAAGAAACCTGCATCCTGGTGCCTGCATATAATAATAAAGGTTATGAGAAAGACCAGGCATATGTATTGAAACTGCAATGAATGGGATGTCAATAGGATAAAAAGAAGTTGGGTTAGGTGCCCCATTCATTCTGCTGGCCCTGTGCTTGTAACCACATCATTTTCCGGTTCTTGTATATTTTTGGTTGTATTAAAGGTTAGACTCTCACATTTGGGCTTTAACAGGCTGAGGGCTTTGCTGAGACAGTCAGCTGTACCCTCTTCCTTATGTCTCCCTTAAGTTATAGGGCAGGGTACGGTTGCAAATAGACTAGCAATCTCTGACTCATTTCTTTGTGCTGTTTTAATTGAAAATGGTCACTCATTGAAGAGAAAGGTTGAAGTGGTACTGCTGGCTGTAGGGCAATACTAAAAAACCACTGAGGAGGGAGGGGGTAGTCGCAGCACAACAGTGCCAGCAGGGTGGAGGAGAGGCTATGGGGGGGCACTCGTCTGATTCACCACAGGGTGCTGTGCCCCCCCCCCACCCCTCCATTGGGCAAGGGCTCCGAGGCCGCACAGAGAAAGGGGGACCTGTTCTGAGGGAGCTGGTCCTGGGCGTTAGGGGAAAAACACTGGTGGGCCAGAGCGAGCTGTGTGTGTCTGACTAATCCTTGCCAGGGCCGGCCTGAGCCCTGTGCTCCGCGCTGTACAGCAAGGCTGGGTAAGGGGCTGGGCAGGAGACACCCCCGAGGCGGGGTTCTCGGTGGCTGAGGAGCCCAGAAGGGGTCCCCCTCGCCCCGGTAGCGCCGCCTCCGCTGCTCAGCTCCCGGCGCTCAGGAGCTGGGCTGGAGTGGAGGGAGGGCTGGAGAGAGGGGGGAGGCGGCTGGTTGCTACGTGATTCCTTTGTCGCTGCGGCGCCCTTGCCCGGCTCAGCCCCAGAGCGCGAGCCGGAGCGGAGCAGCCAGCGAGGGGCACCGGCGCCGCGTCCCCCTGAGCCCAGCGTGGGCAGCCAGCGGCAGCGCGTCCCCCTGCGCCGGCCGGGGAGAGGCGCGGGCGCCATGGGGTCCCCCAGCCTCAGCCGCTCCTCGCAGTCCCTGCACCGGCTGTAAGGCGGCGGCGGCGGCGGCGCGGCGCCCTCTCCTGCACCCTCCCCCAGGGCCCGGGGGCCATGGCCAGCGGAGCTCCGTGAGCCGTGGGACTCCCGGGCGCTTCTGGAAGCAGGGAGCGGCATTGATGTGTGAGCCCCACAAATGGCTCTCGGTGAGGAGGGGGCTGATCAGAGGTGTGAGCATCCCGGGCAGCTGGGGGACCTGTTTGCCGCCTCTCTGCCTTGGGCAGCTGGCAGAGCCCTAGGATGCCCTGATCGGCGGAGCTCCCAGCCACCTACCAGCCAAGGGGCCATCTCCAGGGCTGTCATGCTGATTGGGGTGATCCTAGCCCTTTTCCAGAGTGTCCAGGCTGAACAGGGTAAGGAACACGCCTTGATCTTTGAGTCCTCCCCGGAGCGGTGCACTGAGCAGGGACCATTCTTTCCAGGGGGCCGGGGGGCTGGTTTCTTACGCGGAGATGGCTGCAGGGTGCATATCAGTATTTTTGTTACAAGCTACTGCAGTGTCAGAAACCTGCCTTCGGAAGACAGTACCATTCATTGGGAGGATGGGTTTGCATGGCGGTTCGGGTTTGAGTAAATAAAAGTTACAGCTACCTGCATATTAGCCGCACTTCACTGCAATGGAAAAGGGGTCTATTATATTTGGTATATGTCTATAATACTTTGTTTGCTAAGGGTGAGATAAACGGATAACTGAAGTCTAAAATATGCTTTGTAAAATGTAATCCAGACTTCCTCCCCCTTCCAGCAGAGGTTAAATATAATGGAAGAGAGGCATTCTTGCTGGTTTTCTTCTTTTTTTGTAGAAGTCCTACAACATAAGGAGCTCTCTGGTCCTTTTTGGCCAATACAAGACTAATATCATCCTCTTTTCCTATGGGACAGTCTGCTTCTATTAGCTCTTGTACCTGGCAGGGAAAGAGAGACTGCAAGAGGCTTTTGTTAAACTACAGGATCGTTTCCTTTGTGGGCATTTTTGAGGGGGGGGGCAAGTTCTTTGAAGATCTGAGTGTAAAACAAATCTCAAATGCAATTTAGAATTCTAAGTATGTCTAGGTTATATTTTTCTGATTTCCTTGACTGTTTTGGAAGTCCATTCTGTATTGTCTTTAGTTTTGATAGTAATAATTTTACTGGTTGACCTCAATGCAAGAATAGTTACTGTTTGGAAAGAGCAGTGGGCATGTTTATTGAGTGGTAATTAGATGTATTATACTAACATTTTAGACACCAAGAAGTGTAAATCTAAGGCTATGCTAATACAATAGAAATAGACTAGTACCAATATAAGGCTAAATTAGTGCCCTGGCTTTAAAAAATAACACAAATGTATACACTGCCCTATTTTTGGCAAATCTCTTATTGCTTACTGTATTTCTATTGTTGTTTCATGTTTAAATGGTAAAATGAATACTGTAGTTGGCGTAATTCAGTTTCTTTGATATAGCGCTCCCATATCTACATTGTTTTAGAATGAATGTACAGTAATTGTGTGCAATTGAGGTAGAGTATGGCTCTAATGTAACACAGGTTCTAATTTACAAATTGTGAATTTAAAAAGAACCAATGCTTCATACTTCATTACTTGCTCTGAATTTATAAATACTGTAGTTTGATTTATTCATATAAGATAAATTATTCTTTGTGGCACAGGATCGGGGGACTAGTCATTTTTCTTTTCATCTATAAGCATCGTACTTGACAACTCAGTCTACATTTCATATTAACTCTCACATTAAGTCTAAATTAAAAAATGAAATATATCCATTTTAATACATCCCATCTTTCATGACTGAATTTTTAATTTGGGGAAGGCAATGGGATATGATGCATTTTTCTTCTTAAGGTCCCTACATCATTTAGTCTAGTTAGTAGTCAACAAAAGTATTTACAATATGATTGCTCCTTGATCACCTTTGTGAAATGATAATGAGCTTACCTTTATGTATAATTTTTAATTCAGAAGAATCCCAAAGCATTTGCAAAACTATCCATGAATCACATTGCCAAGAGTGAAATAAAAAGCTGATAATTTGCTAAATAACATACAACAAAACTACCTAACAGTGGCATAATACAGGAAGGGAAAAATACTGACCAATTGAAACTACAGGGGAATTTTAGATAGGCCATAGAATATAATCACCTAAACTGGAAATAGCACAGGATCGGGGGTCATTAATAAAAAAGAAACTACACTTTAGCTTGTAATAGCTAAATACATTTTTTTATCCAGTGTAAATAGGGATGATACATAATTTTGAAATGAAGCAGTTGGAACATAATTAAACCTATTGTCGTTAGTAACATTCGTGTAGCGCTTTGAGTGAAGTTACAAATACAACAGCCTTATATTTATATGGACTTATGATTAATTTATTTTATTCTCATTTGAATAATTTGTTGAATTTGAATTTTCATCAGCATAAAAGCTTCTGCCTTCCATTTAGATATAGGGTGTGAAATCTTGGTCTCACTGAAATCAATGGAAAAACTCCCACTGCCTTCAATAGGGTCAGGATTTCACCCCAGAATACTATTTTTTTTCTCATGAGGGTTCTTGAAACATTTCTCTTCTCGTTAGTTTATAAAATTCAACCAATTGGATGCTAATGCATATGTAGCTTTGCACTTGAATAACAGATTGAATCTAATGTAAATTTGTGCAGCCAAATTATCTGCTGGTGTAAATTGGCTCAGCTCCATTGACTTCAGTGGTTGTACCAGTTCTTATACTAGGCCCATCACTGTTATATGAGTGACTTCCAATGGTGCAGTAAGCAATGTCACTTATTTGTCATGTGTTATTCCTTCTCCAGGCTTCTCCGCAGAGGGGGAAATTTGCACATGGTTTTTGTTGTTGTTTTAGTGTATGATTTGTGTATGGCCTTTTGTGTATGAAGGCAAAGAAGTGTGTTTTGTTCATGGAGGGGAAAGAGAATGTGGTCTATGGTTGCTCTGAGGTCCTGAGCAATTCATAAAGAAGAACTTTAGTTTTGTGAAAGTAGAGTTGATTTTTAAATAGTGGTTATGTCCTGAAGGTTGGTGATGGAGGATTATAGCTACCAGAAATATGTGTATTCACTGAACTTGGTAGAAAATGTGACATGAATTAATTCCCCTGCAAGGAACTCCTTACAGGATCAGTCTTTCTACCTCTGTGCTTGTACTGAGCCAAACACAACAGGGCCCCAGTGTTGAACAAAGCCTTAGAGAAAGCAGCAGATCCAAAACTCTCTTGTGTGTAGGTAAGCTCTGTCCAGGTGGGAGAGCATCTGGAGCTGTTTGCAAGGACTGCAGAGGGACAGGAGAGACCACAGGCCTGCTTCCAACTCAGGGCGCCCACTGGAGGGAAGGGGCTTTCCCACCTACTCTGCAGTGTGAGGTGGCAAGGAAGAGCAGCTGGAGCTATCTAGGCTGGAAGAAGGACCCATTGGTCTGCAGTGGTGGAGCACCATTGGCTGAAGCATTTGGATAGAGGGGTTGCAGCTGGTGAGCGTGGGGGACATGGAAAAAATGGTAACTAAGAAGCAGGGCCGGCTCCAGGGTTTTTGCCGCCCCAAGCGGCAAAAAAAAAAAGAAGAAGCCGCGATTGCGATCTGCAGCGGCAATTCAGCGGAAGGTCCTTGGCTCCAAGTGGGAGTGAGGGACCATCCGCCGAATTGCCGCCGAATAGCTGGACGTGCCGCCCCTCTCCGGAGTGGCCGCCCCAAGCACCTGCTTGGCAAGCTGGTGCCTGGAGCCGGCCCTGCTAAGAAGAGTTGCCTTTTTCATTTTGCTGATAGTTAGTCTGTTCAGTTTAGATGGTGAGCTTGTCATGGGAAAGGCCATGTTTTCCCATGTGTTTGCAGAGCATTAGCCCAATGGGTCCCTACCATAAGTAATAATAATTAATGGCACATTCAGTGCAGTGCCCCTTAATACTACCTGGAGCTTTGGTTCAATGACTCAGAAAGCACAGTGTCACCTGTGAATTGCCAGCACTATTCTCCATAGATCTGGGGTTTTCTATGCATGTCTCCTGTCTGAGTACTGAGTAGCTTCTGAGAACGAATGAGATCACTGCCCAAAGTGGCATATCTGTAAGTATATCTCAGTCAAAGTTCTGGTAGATAGCTGTTCACATCACAAAAACTGCCATCAAAAATGGCACCTTTGCTGCTAGCCTCAGTGAGCATGCCAAGGATTTCACGTGCATGGTGAATGAGCTACTTTCTAAATGCTAAGGTGGTTCCTCCAGTGCAGAGCTGACACACATTAATGAGGTATTGTGTAAAGCTTGCGGTGTCACTGGCCATACTATCCTTTTTCTCTTCATTCTGTAGACGAATCAATCCAGCGTTTTTCATGAGCATTAAACTACTAATTTCTTTTCCTGATAGACGGTGTTTAATGGTTTTGATAATTCAAATAGAAAAAAATGTACGTAAATGCTTGCCCTAGGAAAATAAACAAGACAAATGAATAGCCGAGTTGGAAATTAACCAATGAAATGTTATTTGCAAAGTCTCAAGTCTTGGCTCATTTTAGCCAAAACACAGTAGAACCACTGTGGTTCTTCTGCGCGGGATGGAGGAAGTAGACCATGGAGAGCATGCAGGGGGGTCTATACATCTCTGGGAATTGTGCTTCTTTATGTGGGTGCGTTAGAGGGCACGATTGATGTATACGCATTACATAAACCTGGTCCTTGTAGATTGCGAGTCCGAAATGAACACACATTAATTGGTGCAAAGCTAGGTTACTCTTGGTGTTTGTGTGGGGATGGAGGATTTAGATATCTCAAATAAGTTAATATCTAAATAGATTGTATGATACCACATCCTATGTAGGGAAGGACAAGTGAATTATATTGTAAACTAGGGTTACATGTTAAAAGTATGTCCATGTTTACATTATTAATGCCTCTACTTCTAACTGACTTTGGGGTAGTGCTTTTTTGGGACCTCCAGTAATATGCTCAACTTAGTATCATGAATTCTCTTAATTTTTCACAGTGCTGCGTTTTGAAAGCCCCCATCAACTTATGCTTGGGGGCAGACTGATGGTGGCAGAGAATGCTGCCTACTCATTTTGTTCCCTCAGTAGCTGGATGTTTCTGCTGAAATGATGAGGACTGAAACAGTTAAAAGTGCTGACATTTACCTTATTGTCTGACCTTAAACTCTATAATTCTGTTAGGCTTCAGAGTCAACATATCACTGAAATGATTGGGGACATTGCAATCTTCTGAGAGCTGTTGTTTTAGACTGACTCAGGGAGGAAACACTGCAATGGTTGGACTGATCCACATTTTGCTTGCAGTCATAAGCACCTAAACCTCAGTTTGACCACACACAGGTAACAATCCACATTG